TAGATCTATTTGGTTCACATTTGTTATTTTTCCCTTCTATTTTTTCTTTACATAGTAAACCGTCTCTTCACTGTTTTTTTTTCTTATTTATCATCTTACAAGAAATGATGCATTTTTTTGTACATCAAAATAAAAGAACAGTTGAACTACACACTTCAATATATTCAATAATTTAATTGTCTTATTGTGTTAAATACATAGAAAAACGTATAAAATAACTGCTAATCTTATCAATTTTTTCTTTTTAATTATTCAGTAGTTTGTTGGTAACGTTTTTATGATATCAAATATTCTTATTATCTGTTTCAGATTAATTTTCAAGTAACAATCGTGCTAATTTTTCCTTTGTCTGAACATACTTACTAAAAAATTGTTTAACAACAGTTGAACGAGACAAATTTACAGTCATTACTAAAATTTTTTGCTGGTAACGTACTTATATCTGAAACCTTCTGTTTCTATGTACATTAACATAATTGTTTTAGGTATCCACATAAAGTTTATTGTACGAAATGAATTTCGACTTAGACAAAGATTACTCATTAATTGATACATCAGTTTTACCAAATGATATATTTACACGTATAGATGATGATTTTTTTTCTATTGTTAAAGTATTAGCAGGTGATTCTGTATTCAATATTTTACGAATATAACTAATTAATTCGGAAAGAAAACTATTAAATACACCTGATGTGTTTGCATTTTTTCAAATCGAATCGGAAGAAACGGACACAATAAAAGCTGAATCTTGTTTTAAATCTAAGACTGGACAATATGTTGTTAAACCCGGTATTCAAACCGGTTTATCATATTTAATCAAATTATTAAAATAGAAGTTAAAAGAAGAAGAATTAACACTGAGTGAAAATAATGAAACTCAACATAAATATATATCAAACGAGTTCATTGACAAGCATCCGCTTTTAAAATCTTTAATTAAATGGTATCAACAAAATGACTCGGAAGACAACAACAAAGCAAATAGGTTTTTGACGATGTTCATCGATAATTTGGTATTCAATCTTACACAATCGTCAAATCATTTTAGATACACTGAATCAATTAAAAAATTTGCCATATGCTTATATGTTCTTGGTAGTAAACAATGTTATGAGTTTGTTCGTTTAAATATGCCTGGTAGTATACCAAATCTGACAACACTTGGTGATTCAATAAACAAATCGAATATGACTTTAGCTGAAGCAGAATTTAAATTTGACTCACTTCAACAGTTTCAATCAGGTTTTGGATTTTGTTCTGAAGATACTACTGGTGTTATTCCTAAAGTCGAGTATGATTCGTCGACAAACTCATTCATTGGATT